GGGAGGAGGGATGGGGTGAGGGGAGGGAGAGGGAGAAGGGACTTACATGTGAAACAAGCTTGTTCCCTAACTAGAACTAATAAAAAAATTGAAAAAAAAAAAAAAAAGAGTGTGTACTGTTCTTGTACAGGACTTGAGTTCAATTTCCAGGACCCATGTTGGGTGGCTTAAGGCCATCTGTAACTTCAGCTCCAGGAGATCCGCCTCCAATGCTCTCTTCTGGCCTCCTTGGGTACCCGCTCACACATATACATGCAAATTTAAAAAATGTATTTTTTTTTTAAAGATTTGAACCTGTTTCCTGACAGTAAAATTGTTCTTCATACCCTGTTGCTGGAGACTGGCATATCTTTGGGGTCCCATTCTGTAGCCCCAGACTTGGTCCAGAAGCCAAAATCTACTCTCTGCCTGGCATCACTCACCTCCACAAGAGAGTAGTCCTGGAAACTGGTGTCTGAGAGCAAGATGGTCTTTTCGTCTTCGATCCCGCCGAGGATGAACACAGGTGAATGGTTTATCGTGTACCACAAGGGTCTCGATTTGGAACGCTTGAAGTGTGCAGTCTTCAGAATAAAGGTCTGCCAGAGGAACGGAAATGCCAGCCACTGAGCCCCTCTCCTGCCTGATTGCAACACATACCTCCTCCTCAGCCACAAGCCGAAGTTGTCACCCCAGCTACAGAGCCTCTGCAGTGTGCTGCCACTCTGCCCTCACTGTAGCCCAGTCCCATCGGGGCCTCTTCCTTTCCAGCTCCCCCAGGGGCTTTGGACCCAGCTGGCTCTTTATTCCTTTCCCTTTGCTTTCTTTCATTCTCCACCTTTTGGAAGTGAGGTGCTTTGAACCCCAGCAATACCAGCAAATACTCTGAGCTACATCCTCATGGGAGCATTTGCTGGCTGCATGCATAGTGAATTCAGAACATGGGTGAAGGGCTGGAGATTTGGCTCAGTGGTAGAGTTGCTGGTCTAGCATGTACAAGGACCCGAGTTCAAGCCCCAGTATCATAGATGTGCACACACACACACAGGAATATGGCGCAGAAATGATGAAGAATGGTTTTAGGTTACTTTATCTAGGAGAGGTAGTGAAGGATTCTCTCCCTTGGAGCCTCAGTGTTCTCCTCCCGCCCCCTCTCCCTCCCTCCCCCCTTTCTCTCTCTCTGTTGGGCTCTGTAGACCAGGCTGGCCTCACACTCAGACATCCACCTGCCTCTGCCTCCTGAATGCTGGGATTAAATACGTGTGCTGCCACCTGGCCAGTGTTCTCATCTTTGAAATGAGTGCACACGGCACGAGAGATGCTCAGTGAGGCTGAGGCAGGAATTTCACAAAGCTTGCCTGGTCTGCGTAATGAGTTTGAGACCACTGTGGGCTATAATAACACACTGTTTTAAACACACACACACACACACAGATCACACACACATACATACACACACACACACACACACACACACACACACACACACACACCACTACAGAGGGGCTGGTGAGATGGCCTGGCAGGTAATCATGCTGCCAAGTCTTATGTCTTAATCCCAGGCAACTCCACATGGTGGAAAGAGGAATCCTGACTCCTGAAAGTTGCTCTCTGATTTCCATATGCCTACCATGGTGTAGGTAGAGTCACACACAAAATAATAATGTAATAAAAGAAAAAACACTACATGAAATCCAATGAGACAATGGGGCATCTGCTCTCTCTCTCTCTCTCTCTCTCTCTCTCTCTCTGTGTGTGTGTGTGTGTGTGTGTGTGTGTGTGTGTGTGTGTGTGTGTGTGTGTAACCCACTCGAGTGTGCAAGCATCCCTCCCTCCCAGAGTCACTCTGAAATAGGAACTAAATGGTACATTTAAGAAAATGACACCTGGGGCCTGGAGCTCAAGTAAATGTCCTGCAAATGGGATCCGTGTTGGTGTGGGGGATACCAAGGCCATGTGTGTCTAATTCATATTTTTCCCAATGGGCAGCCCTCACCTCATATCCCATGGTGAAGAGTAGTTTACCACTCTCATCTCTCTTCAAGAAGCCATTCATATTCATATAGAACCTGCAAGCAGGCCCCGGTGAGGAACGCCGTCTCAGGGGTACCTCACAGCTCATGGCCACCTTCCCCCGCTCCTCCCTTTTGCCTCCCCTGCTTTCTTTGGGAGTCTGGGGGTTGGCATTCCTGAGTGTGCCCTGGGCTTGAATACCTTGTTAGATGAATGTAGGGCCCCAAGCCATTGCTGCGGATGTCCACACTCATGACTACGCTGCCATTTTTGATGGGCATGGGTACATACCAGTTCAAGGCACACACGATCTCTGCTATGCAGAACCCTGCTGGTCGGATGGGGCACTGAGGCGCTAGAGATAGCCAGAAGCCCCTGTGGGCCTCAGAGTGCTCTCAGACTTCCCATCTGAGCCCACCACTCCCACCGGTGGTCTGGCCCACCTGAGCTGCGCAATGGGGCGGCCTCCATCTGTATCTGCAGATTTTCAATCTTCCAGTGATAGAAATTGACTGGGTACTTGTAGCTGATCAGGACCACGGGTCTCATCCCCATCAGGTGGCCCTTTCGGGACAGCTCCTCGTCATCCTGAGGGTGAGAGGCATGCCTTAGTCTCAGAATCCATCTGTCTAGAGCCACCTGTCTGAGCTGCGTGGGGACAACAGGCGTTTCACCTCACAAGGACAGGAGGGCATGGCTGTGTAGCCTGCTGTAACATCACATGTGTATTCCCAGCATTCTGGAGGTAGATACAGCAGGCTCTCCAGTTCTAGGGGGACACTTAGGGAGTTTGAAGTCAGCCTGGCCTATAAAGTGAGACTGTCTCCAAAAAAAAAAAAAAGCTGGAGCCCAGGTTATCATTCACCTCTCACCCCCTCAGAAATTAAACTGGAGATCACCACAAGTTTGAGTGGTAATCTGTAAGTGAGTCCTATAACTGGTTATAAGTGAGTCCTAGGTGGATAAGAACTGTGTATCTATTTCTGAGGGTTTACATTCTCTCTCTCCTGTACCTTCTTCTGGAATCTGCAAGCTCCAAGCATACACGTGATATTCAAACACCAATGCAATCAAAACACCCATGCATATGAAATAAAATTGTTAAAGAAACAAAAACTTTTGAGCAGAGGGTAATGATTCATATCTGCAATCCCAAAACTCAAATAACAGAAACAGGAGATTCAGTGCAAGGTCAGCCTGGTCTAAGAAGTAAGTTTCAGGCCAGTCAGGGCTCCATAGTAAGACCTGGTTTAAAAAACACAAAAACAACCAGACAGTGGCCACACAACTTTAGTCTCAGCACTCAGGAGGCAGGCCAATGGATCTTTGACTTTGAGGCCAGCCTGGTCTACAGAGTGAGTTCCAGGACAGCCAGGAATACACAGAGAGACAAACCCTGTCTCAATAAACTTAAGAGAGAGAGAGAGAGAGAGAGAGAGAGAGAGAGAGAGAGACAGAGAGAGACAGAGAGAGAGAGAGGGAGGGAGGGAGAGGAAGGGAGGGAGGGAGGAAGGAAGGGAGGAAGGGAGGAAGAAAGAATCTGGGCATGATTATACACAAATAGAATCCCAGTACTTGGGAAAAGGAGGAAGCAAGACAAGGATCCTGAGTTCAAGGACAGCTGGGACACATAATACTCTTTTTGAGAAAAACATAAAAATAAGCAAATGGTATTTGTGTGACTGCCCAGCCAATGGCTCCTTATAGTATATTCAACCCACTTTTCTTTCTAAAAACAAGTAAGCACTTTTGTGGTAGTTTATGATTGGTGAACTATATCTCAAGAAACTTAAAGCTTTTTGTTACTGTCTTGAGAAAGGACCTTCCTACATAGCCCAGGCTAGCCTCCTTAGTGCTGTAATTGAGAGACAGGCACCACCACTTCTTTTCGCTTCTTTCTTTTTTCAGATTTCTTTCTTTTACTTCATGTGCATAAATGTTTTGTCTGCATGCATATGTGTATCCCGCAGGCATACCTGCTAAATCCCTTAGACCTGGGGTTACCTATGGCTGTGAGCCACCAAATGGGTGCTAGGAATCCAACTCTGCTCCTCTGCAAGAGCAACCAGGACGATTAACCAGTGGGCCACCTCTCCAGCCCTGTTTTCATTTTCTTGTATCTTTTAATGATGGGGCTGGGGATGTAGCTCAGGGTTAGAATGCTTCCCTCGTATACATGAGGCCCTAGGCTCTATTCTCAAGACCTAACGGCACCAAGTGTGGCGGTACACACTTGGAATTTCCAAGGAAATGGCGGAGGTTAGATCATCAGAAGTGAAGGGTTAGCCTCTGCTACACATCAAGTCAGCCAGCCTGAGCTTCACGAGACCTTGTCTTAAAAACACTAACAGGGGGCAGGATGGGGGGGTGCACACCTTTAATCCCAGCACTCGAGAGGCAGAGGCAGATGGATCTCTGTGAGTTCGAGGCCAACCTGGTCTACAGAGTGAGTTCCAGGACATCCAGGGCTACACAGAGAAACCCTGTCTCAAAACCCCCTCAAAAAAGAAAAAACAAAAACAAATAACTACAACAAAACCCACTAACGGGTTGGAGAGATGGCTCAGTGGTTAAGAGTATTACTGTTCTTCCGGAGGTCCTCAGTGCAATTCCCAGTGCCCACATGGTGGCTCACAACCCTCTATTTGATGCCCTTTTCTGGCATAAAGTCATACACACAGAGCACTCATACATAAAATTAAATAAACAAATCTTTAAAAACCATTAACAAAATGGAGTTCTAGCACTTGGGAAGCAGAGGCACGTAGATTACTATGACTTTAAGACCAGCCTGCTCTACATAAAAAGACCCTGTCTCCAAAGAAAGAAAGAAATCACAAAATAGAACGCAGTGTTTTCAAACCATGTATTTGATAAGCAACAATCATTCCAAATATATAAACAATTTTCACAAATCAACAATAAAAAGGAAAAAAAAACAACAAAAACCAAAACCTTCCTTTTAAAGTAAGCAAAGGCCAGGCAGTGGTGACGCCCACCTTTAATCACAGCATTCAGGAGACAAAGGCATTCAGATCTCTGAGTTCGAGGCCAGCCTGGTCTATGGAGCAAGTTCCAGAACAACCAGGGCTACACTGTAAAACCCTGTCTTGAAAAACAACAACAACCAGCCAAGGAAAGCCAGTCAAGATGGCACATGCCACCTTTGATCCTAGCACTTGGGAGGCAGAGGTAGGCAGATCTTTGTGAGTTCCAGGACAGCCAGGGCTATGTAGAAAGACCCTGTCTCAAAAAACAAGCAAACAACAACAACAAAACAAAATGGACAAAGTCAGGTTGGAATAGTGCTCACACCTGTAATCCTACTACTTTGGAGACAGAGGCACGGGGTTGCCGTGAGTTCAAGGCCATGAAGAAAAGTAGGTAGGGCTGGAGATAGCTCAATGGTAAAGAGTTTATACCATTCTTCTAGATGACCAGCACCCATTTCAGACTCCAATGCCAAGGGCTGGTCACCCTCTTCTGACATCCATAGACAACTGCATCATGTGCCTATACCCACCATATACACATAACTACAAATAAATATTTTTAAAAAGTAGTTTACAATGGTTAAGTTTGTCTCTGAAATTCTTTTTTTTTTTTTTTTTTAAGATTTACTCATTATATATAGTGTTTTGTCGGTATGCTTGCCTGCAGGCCAGAAGAGGGCATCAGATCAGGTTATAGATGGTTGTGAGCCGCCGTGTGGTTGTGGGGATTGAGCTCAGGACCTCTGGAAGAGCAGTCAGTGCTCTTAACTGCTGAGGCATCTCTCGAGCCCAAATAAATATTTTAAAAAAGTGACTGTTAATAGGCACAGTCTTTGGCTGGAGAGATGGCTCAGAGGTTAAGAGCACTGACTGCTCTTCAATTCCTAGCAACCACATGGTGGCTCACAACCATCCATTACTGCGATCTAGTGCCCTCTTCTGGTGTGCAGATACACATGGAAGCAGAATGGTGTGTGTGTGTGTGTGTGTAATAAAATCTTTAATAGGCACAGTTTTTTTTTGTTGGGGGGATAATAAGAGTGTTCAGGAGAAAGATAATGATGGTTGGTGTGACGGCTTGAAGGAGAGTGGCCCCACACGCTCATATGCTTGAATGCTTGGACCCTAGTTGTGGGTCTGTTTGAGAAGGATTAGGTATTACCTTCTTGGAGGAGGTGTGTCATTGGGGGTGGGGGATTTAGGGTTTCTATAGCCCCCACCATTGGACGTTAGCTCTCTCTGCCTAGTGGGACACTGAACCCTGAAGGCCTTCAGGGCTGGCGGA